CCTGTTCATATGGGCCTTGTCCCCATGTTTTGACCCCTCTGACCTGCCTGACTGGGGAGGCGCCAAACTGGATGTCTGGCTCTGGCCGGCCAGCAGTAAGGTCGGCCGTTTTCCACGCAACCTCATGTATGTATCTTCCTAAAAGTGCCCACGCAAACACAAAGTCAGAGTGCTTGTGAGCAGTGGTTCCGGCAAGAGGGGTGTTGCGTAGACATTGCCGATAATGGATCTGGTCCAACGGCACCTGCTCATGCATACCAGGCAATGGAGTGGGCACTTCACTGGGCATGATGACTAGCTGCAGGGCTCGGCTCAACGCAGTACCAATTGAGGTCACCGCACTAGCGACGTTGCCAGGGATGCAGAGAAACAAAGGCAAAGAAACTCTAACCAACCTTTTTTGAAAAAGTGTTCAAAGAGGAATTTCCCGTTTTATGAACGTATTTTCTGTCGAATTTGTCAATAAAATTGGCTGGGGGCTGCGCTCCCAGACCCCCGCTTACTGTGTGAAAGTAAGTGTTTTTGCCGCGCGCATGCTGCGGCAACGATTGCTTGCTTGCCTGAAGTCCCCACTGGCTGACACCATGGGGCACATTCGGCCAAACCCTTCCTGCTGGATGGCTTTTTTTGAGCGACTGTTGAAGGAGTGGCAATTTGGCTATGTTTGGCTTGGTGGCACCGTTGATTGAGGGTTCGTGGATCTCTCTGCGGATTGACGTTGTGCAAATGTCTACAAGATGGTGGTTTTGACTTTTCTGGCATACATTCGCATTTTGCGATTTCCTTGCACAGCTTGGTGCGGCATGGATGTGCTCTTGGATATCGACGACGTTGAGTACTGAGCGGCGGGGAACCTAGTAGTTTGGTCGCTTCCGGTTTCTTTTAGTTGTTGCTGCTTGTTCGCTGGATTGTTTGGTTTGGCTGGTGGTGTTGTTCGTCCTTCTTGTTCACGGCGATCTGTTTTACACCTAGTTGCAAGACCCACAAGAACAGCCTACTGTGCTACTGATATAGTAAAAAGGCGCCCGCTCAAAAAAAAAGACAAGTTTAGCACAAGCCAAGAACACGCGTATCGACGGCTTTTTTTGTTTTCTTGAGTGTTGATGCAAACAGTATCGAATAGACAAAATCTTGTTTGTCTGTGAGTTGATTTCAATTGTTATTGAAATCAAATGGGTTCCAAAAGCAGCTTAATTCTGGGCACCGAAAACGGGCCCTAGATTCTTGGATTTTCTGTGTGAACATACAAGGCCACCAGGTTGGAGCTTCAAATTGGAACTGGCTCAGTTGCGGCATTGTTTTCACACACGGGAAGCCAGATCTGGCTTTCACAGCTCCTCGTTGCAAGTAAAACAAATAAGCCTCTCAGTCGGTTCCATCTAAGTCTTGTGTCAGTCTTCCCCCCCAAAATTAGAACAGCAGGCAGCAAGGCGGCAAAGTGTGAATTTGTTTGGAACCGGAACTTTCTCTGACTGTGGAGGTCACTGGAGCTTCCCTACCTTTTCGATCTGCCAAGGCCTGAAGGCAGAAGAGGAGAAAAGAAGGGTGCAGAGTCAACATCGGTGGAAACTGCAGCTTGGAAAGTTCAATGCTTTGAAACAAGTGTTTTTAAAAGCCTCTGACAGTGCCGTTTGGACAGAAAATCAACTGCAGGACAAGACGAGTTCAACCGTGGCGTTGATTCGTTAAGGTTGCGCGCGACGCCCAAGCCAAACCACTTGAAAATTGCAAAGTGTATTACCAGAATGTGAATAAGTGCGAGCGAAGCGAGCGAAACACCAGAGTAAATTCAACAAATTTAACTGATCAAGTGTTGATTTTGAGGGGTTTTTTCAACATTTTCGGAGACTTCAGAAATTTTGAAAATTCCTTGAATGGTGCTGAATCCAGAGAAGAATTGCAACACGCAACCAGGGCACCCAGCCTGACAGAAAGCAGAGTTTCTTCTGCTCAATCTTCTGTCAAATTTCAGTGTGCCTTGAATTCTGTTTGGCCATTTTGGAAAATCAAAGACAAGAGAACGCAATCGAAGCTTTGTCAAAAAAGGTCGAATGGAATGGAAATCGAAGCTGGGCGACTCTCAAGATTGTTTTTTTTTCAATGTTAGCAAGAACTGCAAAAAGATGTTTTTCTTTTTGAACTTTGGAGAAATCGAGAAAACACTGGAAAGAAGCCAGAGTCGTGAAACTTAGACAATTTTCTTCAGATTCAGCAGCAGATTCACACACAGCAACACTTTTTTGTTTTTTTCCAGTTCAAATTGCCTTCGCCCGTCTGAAAAGAATTTTCCCTTGCTTTTGGTCAATGTTTTTTTTGTTTTTTGTCGGGATGATCTCTCGGTTGAGATGCAAGCTTCAGAAAAAGAGTTCGAGAAACCGCCCTGAACCAAAACACAAACAGATCGTTCAGCAAGTGTTTTGGTGAGTGCTGTCAGCCGGTAAGCTGTCGATTGACCAGAACCACAGTGAAAAAAACTTGCAATCGGAACTTGAAGATATCCATAAGAATGTGCATTTTGTGGTTTCGGCTGTTTTTCTGAGTGTGCATGTGCAAGAGTGTTGTGGATGTGTGTGTGAGTATTGTGATTGCAAAGTGGGTTGGTTTGCGGGTGCATGTCTTTGGCTTCAGTGTGCAAGGAAAGTGTCAGTGTGTGGTAAAGAGTGGTAAGGCATGGAGTCTCAGAAGTGACACCAGATAAACAAAAAAACGGTGACCTTGCAGTGGTGTCTGTGTGTGTTTACTTCGTTTTTTCATTGTGAATGGGTGTGGTGTGTTGTGGTTTCGGCGTTCACTGTTGAGATTGGGATGGAATACCTCCAGTGCCATTTGTTACTTCTTGCAATCATGTTGGGAAATCCAAACCGAAAAAAACCCGTTTTGATGGTTGTAGTTACTTTGGGCCCAGGATTCGATTGCTGTTGCTTCGCTTTCTCTTGGGTGTGGTGTGTTGTGTTGTTTGCTGTGTTGCTCCTCCAAGTAGTTTGACCGTCTCACCTCGTCGCAATAGACCGGCCCACTGTGCTGCTGATGTGGTAAAGGGGCGTCCGCTTAAACAAAAATAATTGTAGTTACTTTGGGCCCAAGTGTGTCGTTAAGAAGTGTTGTCTGGCGCCAGGTGGGTCAGTGGGAGGTTGTCAGCCTCTGTTCTTTCGCAGCGTTCCTTTTTCTTAAATGCGTGGCAGCTATAGCAGGTACCACTGCGTACGGTGCTGCATCTTAGATGTACATGTTCGCGCAAGATTGCAGTGAAGCTTTGCACATTCATGTGGGATCTTATGCGATATCCCAGTTGTCGGATTGAGTTGGTTGTTTTTTTTAGTTGGTTTGCCTTCTTTTTGCGTTGGGAGAAAAAGTGGTTATTTTGCTTGCAAGACAGGATGAATCTTACAACATGTGCGTATGTGCATGTGCCCAGCATGAGCTTTGGTGCACAAATTTTGTTTGGTTGATAGCTTGGTGCGACTTTCCTCACCTCATCTCACTGACACGGTATTGCTCTGCCTGCTTCAGTAGCCGCGCAGCGGCCGATTTTTTCCATAGCACACAGACCACAAAGCAAACCCACTTTCCCTGGAACTTAGCCCAGAGCCGGCGACAAGAAGAAAGCTGCCACAGTTGTGAGTCAAACAGATGAGTTTGATCATGGTGGGTTTTTGACCTCCCAATTGAGCATGCCCCCGCATCGAAGCTTTGAGATCCCCAAAAACCTGCCTAAACCCTAAACCCTAAACCCAAACCCCCAAAACCCTAAACCTTAAACCCTAAACCCTAAACCTCCCGGAAGGGCGATTGCTCGGATGCGAAACATGCCCAGACCTGAGGTTTGTAAACCATTAAACCCCATAACTTTGAAAGGTTTTGGGTTTTTTCAGATCTCCAAAACCGTCTACAGGGTTTTTAGACCCTACAGGTGTACAGGTTTCGGGTTTAAGGTATTTAGGCATTGTCTAAACGAGTAGAACCTTGTAACCCTGAAGGGCTTTTGACTTAATCCCCAAAAATCCCGTAGGGTTATGTTCTATGTTTGTAGGACTTGCCTCCTTCTGTGAAAATCCAAAGAGAAAAAAGAAGAAGCACCCACATTGTCTGCAGGGAACAAGTGTTGTCCATTAAACAGAATACTGCAAAAATGTCTTTTCACTATGCTCTGAGACCGCCAGAAGTTAGACACTTTACGGTTGCATTTTTGTTTTTTCAGGGTGCTTCAGGTGGTTGTGTGCTGTTATATCTGAATTTAGCAACGGTTCAGAGTGGCTTTGAGTGAAAGACCAGTGAAAGGGGTACGTGCGCCATGAGGTCTTGTTTAGATACGTTACTGATTTTTTTTGTGTTTTCAGGACGCTTTAGGACGTCTTGTCAGGAGAAACGAGAAAACACTGCGTTGTCTTTTTTTATTAATGCGGACGCCCCTTTACCACATCAGCAGCACAGTGGGCCGGTCTATTGCGACGAGGTGAGACGGTCAATACTACCTGGAAAAGCGAAACAGCAAAGAACAACACACCACACACAAGAGAAAGCAAAACGGAAGCAATCCAATCCGACGGTGAAACGTCTCTCTCTTTCTTAGAACACGAAGAGGTCGAAGTAGACCTGTTGTGGCATGACAGAGTGCGGTTCGCAAAGTGCGAACGGTCTGCCAGATCAAAATCACGTTCCATGCTAATCCGGTTTTTCCCCTTGCCCAGGTCCTTCATATGGTCGTCCCTGCAGTACCCGTTACTGCCAAACATTTTGCTTGTCGCCTCGCCTCAACCCTAAGCCCTGAACCCTAAACCCTATGTGCACCTCCTTCTGAAATTTCATCTGGCGTGTTGCAATCGATCACAAGCTGCACTTTCGAAGCTGGAGTGTAGAAAGACCAGACGTTAAAGTCCGATGGTCTTAAACATTACCTTTACGACCCATAGTCTCGTCTTTTAAACCATCCAATTCAACCCAACAAGCCCAAAACCCCAAAACGCCACTGAGCTGCATGATGAACAGCCTGTTCAGCTTCCATGGAGATTCGTTCGAGCGCACCGACGCAACGGGTGAAGCAACGCGGAGAGCTCGACGTGACCGAGGACGTCCCACAGCTGTCGCTCAGCCTTTAGATTCCCAAAGAGCCCAATATTGCTTAATTAAGCAATATACCTTAAATCATATAGGGGTCCTTAATAATTATGATTTAAGGAATATTCCTTAATTAAGCAATATTGGGCTCTTTGGGTTAGCCCCCTAAACCCTAAACGCTAAACCCTAGGCATCGCTCCCAAGGGCTCTGGGCAGAAGCAAGAAGGCCAAACACGGTTTAGGGTTTAGGGTTTAAAGTTTGGGGTTTAGGGTTTAGGGTTTAGGGTTTAGGGCTTTGGACCTGCAAACCCTAGCCCTCAACAAGCCTGTAGGTTGGGATGTGGTGAGGCCCAAATGCGTGAGCCAGTTGCTAGCCCCCAGCCCTTTCACCCGCATACTGAACCGCATCCTGATTTTTACACGGGGGTCCAGGAGAAGGGGGAGGGGGATGCTTACACGGGGGCCCAGGAGAAGGGGGGGGGGGATGCTATATCCCCCTTGGGAATTATTTTTTGTTCACATAAAACCCAAGAGGATATAAAAAATCCTATTTTATAAAGGTTCTACGGGGAGTATAGGATGGGGGGGGGGGGGGGGGGGCGGGGCGTGAGGTCCTGCTGTTGTAAAAACTGTTGCTCATCAATCAAACTAAGCTAAGCCCAGGTTGCCAACCGAACCGGGAAGGGAAAGACAGAGCAAGAGAAAGAGAGGGAGAGGGAGAGGGAGAGGGAGAGGGAGAGGGAGAGGGAGAGGGAGAGGGAGAGGGAGAGGGAGAGGGAGAGGGAGAGGGAGAGAGAGAGAGAGACGAGGAGCTGTTTTTGGGCTGAGAGTCTTTATGTTTTATTATTGGTTAATGTTATTTTTTCGTTTCGATTCTTAACTTGCTCTTCTGGGAACTTTGGCAGAGAGAGTCAGGAAGAAGTGGGCTGCGCTCCAGAAGCGGGTCTGTGGCGCCTGTGGTTTGCGGGCCGCCCTGCTGTGTTGCCTGCTGCTCATCTTCACGGCTGGGGTGCAGCAGCTGGTCCATGAGACTTTATCCCCCCTTTGGGAATTCTTGTTGCTTATTTGTTTATTTAAAACCCAAGAGGATATTAGCAATGCTGTTTTTATTAAGGTTCTAAGGGGAGTGTAGGAGAAGTTTAAGTTCGAGACCCTCTACCCCGACTTCGAAGCGGGCACGGCATCCTGTGACAAGGCCAAGGCACCACCCGAGGCACTACGTCTTGGAGGTATCCTGTCCTTCTTCTCGCAGGACGCGGGGGCAGGTTTGAACATAACTTTTTGTTTCAGTTGCCCCCCATCCGCATCCAATCCTTCTAAAGCCACAAACTTTTTTTTACCCTTCGTCGCACTACAATCCATATAAAGCCGTTAAAATGTGATTTTTGTAGGGGCCCCAATCCTAAACCCTAAACCCTAAACCCTAAACCCTAAACCCTAAACCCTAAACCCTAAACCTTAAACCCTAAATCCTAAACCCTAAACCCTAACCCCTAAACCCTAAACCTTAAACCCTACATCCCAAACCCTAAACCCTAAACCCTAAGCCTTAAAACCCTAAACCATAAACCCTAAACCCTAAACCCTAAAACCCTAAACCCTAAACCCTAAACCTTAAATCCTAAACCCTAAACCCTAAACCCTAAACCCTAAACCCTAAACCCTAAACCCTGAACCCTAAACCCTAAATCCTAAACCCTAAACAATAAACCCTAAACCCTAACCCTAAACCCCAACCCAGGATGGACTCTCCGTCGGCCTCACCTCGCTGTGGCCCAGGATCGCGAACGCCACCCAGGCCTCGGCTCGCCTTCCAGTCAAGCTCCGAAAAGTTTAGGGTTTAGGATTTTTGGGGTTTAGGGTGTAGGGTTTGGGGTTTGGGGTTTAGGGTTTGGGGTTTAGGGTTTAGGGTGTAGGGTTTGGGGTTTGGGGTTTAGGGTTTAGGGTAGGGCTCAGGGTTTCTCAAAGTGGCTACGTGGCTATGCCGCCTTCCAAGCGCCAGCTTCGCTGCTTCGCAGGCCAACCACCAAGCCTTCGCGTCCTTGCTTGGTGTGCCCTACAAGCAGGTCACTTCCGGGCACCGCCGCTGCGGTAAGAGCCTTACATGAACCCGACAGGGCTTTCTGTGGGGTTTAGGGTTGAGGGTTTAGGGTTTAGGGTTTAGGGTTTAGGGTTTAGGGGGTCCATATGCCAGCCATCATGGGGGATGTAGAGCTCTCAGGAAAAGTCAGGTATAAGCATGCCGGCACTTGTTGAGCTCACGTGGTCCCCCAAGGATGAGGGCGGTCGCCGAAGCTTTGAAGTGTATCGCCCCCGGAACATGGCTCTTCTTCATTGACGCCGATGCGGCCTTCAAGGCCAGCGTGACGCCGTGCGCGCCCGCTCCTTCTCTGAGCCCGATGCACTGCGATGCCTTGGCGTGGCATGGAAACACGACACAGGGAAGGGGCAAGTGCCCATCGTCCATCAGGGCACTTGCCGCGTTTCACGGCAACGTCTTTCGCTATTCTGGCCGGGATCCGAGCCTCCTGAACTTGTGGCCCTTCGGCTTGTTCGCCGTCCGGCACGATGCCTTCGGCCTTGACTGGCTGGAGAGGGTGGCCAGCCGCTTGGAGTCCGAGCTGCTGCTCTGCCGCCTGAGCTCGATTCCGGAAAGGACCCTTGGGGTTTTTTGTTGGCTTCTTCCTCTCTCTCTCTCTCTCTCTCTGTCTGAAGCCTGTTTCAGCATTTCGGACTTTGTTTGGGCAGTCCAGGAACCCCCTTATTTTGTTTTTGCAATCCGGCCAAGCAAACGCTGAGGAAGGCCGCATTCTGGGTCACCACGCCGGCAGACAAGTGCAAGATTTGGCCCAATGACCAGTGGTTCTCCTCCTACTTTCTCCACCTCACCAGCGGCACGGAGGAGAATAGGGATCCTTATGCTAAGAGTCCTTAGTCGGGATTCTAGTACTGTACCCCCTACTATCACCTAAACCCTTAACCCAAGATCCTAAACCCCAAAGCCCAAAGCCCAAACCTTAAACCCTAAACCCCAAACCCTAAACCCTAAACCCAACATCCCAAGAGGAGAACATCAAGGGCGACGCCGCGCGAACCGAAGCCTTCCTGGAGATGGTTGAACGGGAAAGCCGAGCTCTCGAGGCTGCCATGGCGAGATGACGAAGTCAGCCGCCGAGACGAAAAAGTGGGGGGGAAGGTTAGGGTTTCTAGGGGGGGGGGGGTTGTTGGGTTTTTAGGGTTTAGGGTTTAGGGTTTTTTTTTTTAAGGGCAGTCAGTGTTCCCGGCAAGAGCCAGAAGTTCCGAATAACGGTTGCCAGCAAGACTTCCCAAGCACTCGCGCCAGGATTGGGTGAACAAGATGTCGATTCCACCGGTACTTCTGTACAACTTTCCACGGGGTTGGGCTCACTTGGGGCTTCATGGGATGTCGATTTAGGCTCCACGAGGTTCAATTCAGGATCCGGGGAAGGCTAGAAATTTTTTCTCCGGGCTCCAGAAGGTTAAGGGTGTGGGTTTTTCCATGCCTTCAACCCTGCATCCTGCCCGGGCGCCATAGTCTCAGCACTGAGGCTGGGTTGAGGACCAGGGTTGAGGAATTCAAACAAGTAACCAACCTACACCCTAAACCCAAACCCTAAACCCTAAACCCTAATAAACCCTAAACCCTAAACCCTAATAAACCCTAAACCCTAATAAACCCTAAACCCTAATAAACCCTACCCCAAAATACCGTTTTATCCCCCCCCTGAGCCAAAAAGGCTCCCAACCCCTGATCGCATCTCGGGCCCAAGGAGACGCGGTTATCTGCAAGAGTCCAAAAGCCCAAGGACGATAGGGTTAAGCGTTTAGGGTTTAGGGATACACCCTGAACCCTAAACCCTAAACCCTAAACCCTAAACCCTAAACCCTAAACCCGAAACCCGAAACCCGAAACCCTAAACCCGAAACCTAAGCATCATGTGCGCTCCAAGGCCCCAGCCAGCCTACTGTAAAGCGGGCTAAACCCCTAAACCCTTGAACCTCAAGCCTGTAATCTTAGAGTAGTGTTAGGAACTTGGGGAATAAGGGTTTAGGGTTTAGGGTTGAAGGGTTCAGGGTTCACGGTTCTCAGGTTTAGAGAGTATCCCAAAACGCAAACCATCCAGATCTTTAAGCTGCCTGGGCCCGCAGCCCCGAAGCTTCTTCGCGCCTCTGGACCCGGATGCTTCTTGAAGATGTGCTGGCACCCGGCAGGCTCTTCGGATTCGGTGTGTGGCTGGTGGTGCGTGGGTTGGGGTTTCAGGGCTGTAAGGGTAAGGGTTTGGGTTTCGGGGCTTCTGGGTGCGTAAAGCAGCAATCCTTGCGCCTCTGTGATGTGGATACCTCCCCATCCCAACGCCCTAACAGCACGACCTTAAACCCTAAACCCCAAACCCTAAACCCTAAACCCCATGAAGCTCGATGACTGGAGGTTTCTGGCTACGACGGGCCAACTGGTGGGGGTGCTGACGGTGCTCCTGGATAAGGCGGGGAGCATCGTCGTCATCGTTCTTTTGGGATTTCGGGTTTTTTTTTTTGGGGTTTAGGGTTTAGGGTTGTGGGGCTTAGGGTTTAGGGTCTCCTTTAGGGGTTGCATGGGGCTTGCCGTAACCTTATGCTGCAAGGTTTAGGCCCCGATGTGGTGAGTTCTTTAAGCTAAATTAGGGGCCTTATAAGAGTAACCCCCCAAAAGGCGACCATCATTTACAGAATCCTAAGGAAGGACATACCCCTCATGCAGGAATATTCCTGAACACGCAATACACCTCCCTATCGGGTTTCGGGTTTAGGGTTTAGGGTGTAGGGTTTAGGGTTTAGGGTTTTAGGGTTTTATGGTTTGAGGAACGCGATCCGCATTTAAGCAAGAGCCGCAGCTCGACTTTGCCAAGGAGCCTTACATCCAGGCCGCCCTCCCTGCCCTGTACACCAGGCGCCTTTCACGCTTAAACCCTACACCTTAAACCCTAAACCCTAAACCCTGAACCCCAAACCCCAAACCCTAAACCCCTAAACTCCTTAAGACCTACAGTAACCCGCCCCACCAAAGGCAGGAATTTGATTCGGGCTGATGCATCAGGGTTTTGTTGGCTCCTTTTTTTGCCACATAATTCATGTTTCAGGAAAATGTCTAGGGCTCGTATGAGTTTATACAAGAAATGCAGGGTGAATTTTGGCCACGAGTATTTTGATCAACTACCCTGTCAATCTCTCTCTTTACCCAGGATTCGAGTGCTTTTGCCTAAGACCTCACAACCCAAAACCCGAAACCCAAAACCCAAAACCCAAAACCCAAAACCCAAAGCCCAAAACCCAAAACCCAAAACCCTCAACCCCAAGCCCTAAACCCTAGGGGTCGTAGTCGTAGTCGTAGTTGTAGTCGTAGTCGTAGTAGTAGCAGTAGTGGTAGTAGTAGTAGTAGTAGTAGTAGTAGTAGTAGTCGTCGTCGTCGTCGTCGTCGTCGTCGTCGTCGTCGTCGTCGTCGTCGTCGTCGTCGTCGTCGTCGTAGGAGCAATCTAGGAGTTCGAAGTAGAGTTTCAGAGCTTGCCGTGGATGCTTGAATACATGAAGGCACTTACACCGTGAACCCAAACTCTGTGCTCTGAACCTAAACGTTGTGCCCTCTGCAGGGAGGAGTACGATGCCGCAGATGGGGACTGCACCCGTGTCCTCGTGCAGGGCGCCCAGAGAAGAAGATCGAACCAAAACGCCCCCGCGTCCCCTGCCCTAAACCCCCTATACCCTAAACTTCGAGACCCTGAGTCCGCAATCCGAGGCCCTGAGCCCTACACCGAAACCCAAGGCCGAAGACCTGGAATTCTAGAAGCATGACCGGGTATTGGCTGAAGCCATGAGGCCCATGTTTTGTTCACCCATCGGGAATTTACCCGGCTATATAAGGAGGTGAATTCGACCCGCTGTTTTTTTGTGTTGCCATGTTGCTATCCATTATGGAAATCGATGTGGCTTCGCGTCTACGTCGTGTGAGCAGCTCTTGTAAATAGTTTTGAAAACTGTTGGCGAGATGGCGGTGAAGGGCAGGGGGAAGGACGAGAAGGCGAGGAAGGTCAAGGTTCGCGCAGTACGTCCCTACCTACCTCCCGGTGCAGCTGCTCCTGACCACCGTTGCTCTCCAAACTCTGGGTTTTATTCCCGGGCTTCGCCGACTGCGACCCGCGGCAAATCGTAACGGTACTTATAACCCACTTCTACGCCCCTTAAGTGCCCTAACATGGTTATACTTGGGATACTTGGGGTATCAGGTACAATCATAATTGGGTTAATAAGTACCCTGAACCTCCAAGTGCTTGATTGGGGTATAAGAAGGGGATTCGATTATCGTGGGGTGCCTCATTATGCGCATGATTATCCTAGACTTCCAAACCTCTGGATCCGTACCCCCTGAGGTTGCAACGAGCGTAAGGTAGGTACTGTTTGCAGGGTTTAGGGTTTAGGGTTTAGGGTTTAGGGTTTAGGGTTTGCGGTTTCGGATGATGATTCTCATTTGAGGAAGATTGGGTTGGCTTGGATTTCCAGTTCTTCCGAGGGCCGCTAAATGGAAACATTACAGCCTTAAAGCCCTAAGCCCTAAGCCCTAAGCCCTAAGCCCTAAACCCTAAACCCTAAACCCTAAACCCTAAACCCTAAACCCTAAACCCCAAACCGAAAGCACCACGACCCAAAGCCCCACATCCTGAACTCCAAGCCTGAACCCATCCTCTGTCTAACATTACCGTAACATTAGGGCCGTAGGGTTGCGGCAGACCAAACGAGGAAGAATCCCAGTTTTGGACCAATTCTGCCCAAACCCCGCGGGTTTGTGTTCCCGAGACCTACTCGATTCAGGATAGCGTGCAGGCTTCGGGGGACAAAGTTCGCTGGGGGCCGCAAGGGCTTCGGCAAGCTAGTGTTCCCAGTTTAGACCCTCAACCTCCTAAGGCCTCAGCCCTAGAGCCTACACCTTGTACCCTAAAGTGACCTAGAATCTAGACCCTAAACCTTAAACCTTAAACCTTAAACCCTAAACCTTAAACCTTAAACCCTAAACCTTAAACCTTAAACCTTAAACCTTAACCCTTAGACCTTAAACCCAAATCTAACCTCCAAACTCCGAACCCTGTCGTCCCAGGTTGTGCACGACTTGCCTGGCAATTGAGCTGGCAAGCTTCCTGGTTTCGGGTGTGACGCCCGCACCCCCAGAAGCATGTCATGTCAGGGGGGGGGGGGGGTGCACAGAGCCCCAATGCCCTGAACCCCGGCCCTCCAAGCCCTACAGCCCGAAAGCTCTGAAGCCCCCTGGTGTGGGTTTAGGGTTTAGGGTTTAGGGTTTAGGGTTTAGGGTTTAGGGTTTAGGGTTTAGGGTTTAGGGTTTAGGGTTTAGGGTTCAGGATCTGGCAATACTCCCAAAACCCTAGGACCAAAGAAAGTGTACTTGAACTCCTCAGCCTTAAGCCCCAAAAAACTAGCCCCCTGCAGCACCCTTTGCCCTATATCCTACACCCTACACCCTACTACACCCTAAACCCTAAACCCTAAACCCTAAACCCTAAACCCTAAACCCTAAACCCTAAACCCTAAACCCTAAACCCCAAACCCTGAACCCTAAACCCTAAACCCTTAACCCTGAACCCTAAACCCTGATCTCTAAACCCAAAAAGAAAGCTGCAGCCCTGCTGCTTCTGAGGATCTTCGCGAACCGCGTCAACGCCACCCACGCGCCTCTCCCGAATTTTTTGGGGCTTAAGGTTTAGGGTTTAGGGTTTAGGGTTTAGGATTTGGGGTTTAGGGTTTAGGGTTTGAGGCTTAGGGTTTTCGGGTCCAAGGTTTAGGGTCCAGTTTATGAACTGGTTCGGGTTGAAGATCTGTTCTGGGATGTTGAGGTGGCTTTGGGAGTCGGGGCGCCTCTCATACATGTGGGTCACACATGAATGTGTCGAAGTTGAAGTGGCCCAGGTATTCTTTTTTGTCCCCAAACTTCACAAAAAAGGGCTTGGTGTCTAGGGTTTAGGGTTTCGCAGGTTTTCCGGGAAACCTGGAAGCCTCGAGGGGGTGCCCCCCTGCACATGCCAAGGCCCTGAAGCCCACGAAGCCTCCAAGCACAAGGGGGCCTGTGAATTCGAGGAGGTCCAGCCCGCAACCTCAAC